TATCTGGCCTTCCAGGAAACAGTCAGGGTTGATTTCTTTTAGGATTGACTGATTTGATCTTCTTGCAGTCCAAGGGACTCTCAAGAGTCTTCTCCAGCACCATAGTTCAAAAGAATCTATTCTTCGGCGCTCGGCCTTCCTTATAGTCCAGCTCTCGCAGCCATACATGGCTGTACATATAGCGTGTACATATAGCCTGCATATATTATTTTATACACACAAATAAATATAGCTCCATATAGTCTAATCTAAGGATGCTGTTTTCCAATGTCTTACAAGTCAAACCTTATGACATGAGAACTTATCGAGTCTAAAGTCTAAAGAGTGACACTTTCCATTACACGCTGTCCATACAGTAGGTCTATAATACCTTTTGAGATTGCTAAATGAGGCAAAGAGTAGTTATTACATCAGGTATTGTTCTTTTAGTGGTTAGATGTGTGAATATGGGAGACCATAAACTTGTAATATCATCATGTTCACCTTTAGAGTTGTTTCGTTTCAGAATGTCTGAGGTTTTTTCCCTTATGTATATGTTCCAAAGTTTTTTATACCAGAGGATGACCTTTAGCTTGTTTGTGGATTTCCATGTAGATGCTATTGTATGCTCTTCTCCCCTTTCCTAATCCTCCTCAACATGGAGTGTGCCTTTCTCACCACCACCGTGTACTCTGAGCCGACATTTTCATGGAGCCGTCCACTGTAACCCCGAGGTCTCTTTCAGTCTTCGTCTCAGCCAGTTCAAACCCTGCCAGCACGTAGCTAAAGCCGGGATTGTTTGAGTGTGCATCACCAAGGATGAGGCCTAGAAACAGCCTCACACAAGCCAGGCCCAAGCGACCAGACTCCAGCCAAGGGTCACTTACATTTCCTACGTTACAGCCAGCAGTGTACACCCCGGGTGAGAGGGGTCTCTTGGGGGTGGGCGTTCCTTGCTTGCTTCCAGACAGCTGTTTCCCACCCCCTTAAAAACAATAACAGGAGACACAAGTCGAGAGACTAGGTGCCAAATCTGTTCCCGTCTACATCTGGGCGATATTACCACAGAACCCAATCCACCTCAGCCAAACCATCTTGGACTCCTCTGCGGGTGCATTCTCCGCATTCCAACTTGGGGGTGGGGGGGATGTTGGAAGGAAGGCAAGCTCAAACACTTTAAATAATCGTATTGTATTTCGCTCTGTTGCCAACCTAAAGGTCACCCTCATCCAGCAGAGGAGCTTTACAGCAGGGGACTCCAGTCTGAAACCAGTGAATTCAAGGAGATGGTTGACTTCACGAGGCTCTGGAGAACATCAGAGCAACCCTGCAGGATCAGACCAGGGAGGGTCCATCAGGTCCAGCATCCTGTCTCCCACATAAGAACACAAGAGAAGCCCATGTTGGATCAGGCCAGTGGCCCGTCCAAACACTCTGTCACGCAGTGGCCAAGAATACTAGGTGCCATCAGGAGGTCCAGCAGTGGGGCCAGGACACTAGAAGCCCCTCCCACTGTTGCCCCCCCAAGCACCAAGAAGACAGAGCATCCCTTGCCCCAGACCGAGAGTTTCTATCTGTACCTTGTGGCTAATAGATCCCGGTGGAGCAGCCGTGTTGGTCTGAAGCAGTAGAACAAATTTCGAGTCCAGTGGGGGCACATTTCAGACCAACAAAGGTTTATTCAAGGTATGAGTTTTCATGTGCAAGGCACACTTTTTCAAATGCCATACCAATGTATTTGAAAAAGTGTGCTTTGCACATAAAAGCTCATACCTTGAATAAACCTTTGTTGGTCTTAAAGATGCCACCGGACCCTAAATTGCACATGAAAGCTCATACCTTGAATAAACCTTTGTTGGTCTTAAAGATGCCACCGGACCCTAAATTGCACATGAAAGCTCATACCTTGAATAAACCTTTGTTGGTCTTAAAGATGCCACCGGACCCTAAATTGCACATGAAAGCTCATACCTTGAATAAACCTTTGTTGGTCTTAAAGATGCCACCGGACCCTAAATTGCACATCTTGAATAAACCTTTGTTGGTCTACAAGATGCCACCGGACTCTAAATTTGTTCTTGTGGCTAATAGCCACTGATGGACCTCTGCTCCAGGTGTTTATCGAATTCCCTCTTGGAGCCGTCCATGCTGGTAGCCGCCACCACCTCCTATGGCCAACCGGTTTTTCTGGAGACCCCACAACAGGGCATAGAGGCCAAGGCCTTCCCCTGATGCTGCCTCCTGGCACTGGTATTCAGAGGTAGACTGCTTCTGAATGTGGAGGCTCCCTTTAATCACTAAATCGGTAATAACTAGTTGAGCAAAATAAGGGGTTAGGGTCACCAACTACTGCCAATGGACAGCCTGCTGGACAGCCTGCCCTTTGAGGACTGCAGGGGGCAGGCCAAGCGGTGGTCTTCCTCGTGAGCAATGCCAGTCCGCAGAAAGAAACCAGATCACATTCATTTATTAAAGCAGTTCTACGCAGGGGTCAAATCAATGGTCCTCATCCTATTCTTGGTCTACGCAGACGGTCCAACATGATCCTGCCCTCACTACAACATCAATAAAACTAGTTTTTGATTATTTTTTTAAAAAAATCAATTCAAAGCCCAAAGAGAGGATTCCAAACACAAGGGATAAAAAACAGGGCTGGCAGCTCCTGCAGGGCCTGGCCACCTCTCTTCCCCTCCTTCGACAGGGAGCAAAATTACTCTGCGGCAGTCCTGGTCCCCGTTGGGTCCCCAGCAGGCAAAAGGAAGACCCCAGACGTCCCCCCCCCTTCACCGTGTATGTGTGTGTGTGTGTGTGGGTGTCAGGGAGCCATCGCGATCCAGCCCAGGATGAGGAGGCTTCCGCCGTAGGGTGCCACTTTGGTGAATGTGGAGTCTCCCGTGATGGCGTGGTAATAGAAGGCCCCACAAAACATCCCCATCCCGGTGGACAGGACGGTCCCAGCCTGAGGGAGACAAAAAGAAAGCATTCGAAACTTGGCTTGTTTTTCACCAAGGCAGAGTTCTATTCGTAGCCCGAGAGACGTGACCGGGGTGTGTGTGTGGGGGGGGGCGATTCCACTCCATCTCACTGCCTTTGCAGGAAGACGAACGGCCACCGCCAGTGTCCCCTCTAAGCTGAGTGAGTGTGAGCTAGCTCACCCTTTTTTAGCCTCCGGCTCACACGTTTTTGGCTTCGCTCAGGAAGGACCACCTAGTCCTGCCTCCAGTGTCAGGGGGCCGGCCAGTCAGAGGCCCCCTGTCAAAGGCTCTCCCCTGCTGGCTGCTCCTGGCTTGTGCCAGTTTGGGGGCTATGAAATAATGGACTTGCGAGTAGTGTTCCCTCTAGGCTGAGTGAGTGTGAGCTAGCTCACAGTTTTTTAGCCTCCAGCTCACACGTTTCTGTCTTAGCTCAGGAAGGAGGGCTCCAGAGTAAACTAATTGATATAGCAGCCCAATCGCTCACTCACAACTTCAATGCCAGCAGCTCACAAAGTAGAATCTTTGCTCGCAAGACTCCACAGTTTACAGGGAACATTGGTCGCCACTGTTCCCTCTAAGCGGAGTGAGTGTGAGCTGACTCACAGTTTTTTAGCCTCCAGCTCACAGATTTTTTGCGTTAGCTCAGGAAGGATGGGGCTCCAGAGCAAACTAATTGATGCAGGAGCCAAACCGCTCGCTCACGACTTTAATGCCAGCAGCTCACAAAGTAGAATCTTTGCTCGCAACACTCCACAGCTTAGAGGGAGCCCTGGCCACCACTACTGGAATCCGGGGGGCAGAGAGTGGTCCCTTTGCTTGGCTCACAGGAGCGTCTTGCCCAGGGTCAACGTGCTGGCCGAACCTGGGAGGCAAGGGACCCGCCCTCCCAGCAGGTACCGGGTGGCAAGGCCAAGGGCAGGCTGATCCCGATTCCCGAGCCACGCGCTCCCCGGCTTGCTTGCAAAGTCAGGATGACATTTTCTTTGCTAACGCGTGGAGCTGCCATGTGCCGAGTCAGGCCACTCGGCCTTGTCTCTCTCTCAGGCTTGTCTGCTCTGCCTGGCGGGGGCTCTCCGGGGGGGGGGGGGGCCCGCCCCCCCGGTTCGTTGGAAACCTTCTGCAGGCCAGCCAGGGCTGTGCCACTCAGAGGCTACTACGTCTGCACGGATCCTTCCTACACGGGGTACCGGTCTCTGCCACTGGTGTACGGTGGCCTGGATGGAGTGGGGAGAAGGAGAAAGGGCGCTGGGCAGACCGATGGGAGAACGAATGGCTTCATTGCTGGCCGCTGGCCAGCCCAAAAGCAGAATGCCCCTGTCACGGCTCAGGTGGGGGTGTCCCCTGACGCTGCCACCACTCTGGTTTTAGGATCCCTTGAGAAGGCCCAGAGCCACCCTCCCGAGACCTTCAGGCCTCCCTTGTTTGGCAGAATAATAAGCATGAGGACCAGGCAGAGTAAACAACAAGGAAAAGGTTTATTTTTACAGGAGGTCAGCCCGATATGGGAATCAAACAAGGTGCAAGAACAGAATCAGTAAGGGGGTGAAAAGAAAAGAAACCAAATGCCCTGACGTGACTAAACTCGCAGTCCCTAGCTCGCCGTCTCAGTGGGGCCTCAGTCTGCTCGCCCTTCCTCTCAGGGTGAGGGTCTCTTCCCTGCAGCAGCCTTCCTTCTGGCTTTGCCCTCTTGGAAGAAAGAACAGCTTTTCTTCTGTACCAGCTCTTTTGCTATAAGTCCCCTTTCTCTGTGGTTGGCTAAAGTTGGTGCCAAAACCTCTCGGGGGCTTCTGGGAGTTGTAGGCCATGCCTCCTCCCACTGCTACTCAGGCTCCCTGGGCCTTCTAGGCCTTTGCTTGCACAGCCCAGATCATGACAGCCCCTGTGGAGAAATGCCCACCACCCTAGAAAGTGCCTGAGTATTTCAACCCTTGGGAATACACTGTTCGTAAGTAGGACCCCGCTGCAAACTTGTTCTGGCAGAAAGGAGGGGGGCAGGGAAAGGAGCCATCAAGCCCCCAAGCACACAGTCCTAACATGCTAATGGCTCTGGCCAAAGCAGAACTATAGGCACACCTTCTTACACCTTGCTAGAATGCCAAACCCACAGAATAGAGACAGCCAAATAGTAATTTCTTCCTCTTGAGGCAGGAAGATCAGAGCCACTTTGGGGAGGGGCAGACTTGAGGAGGAGATTATAAATTCTCTGGACAAGGAGAAAAAGGAAGCACTCTGATCTGGCGGCTTGGGGTCTGGGAGCCACAAGCCACAAAGGACTAAATCTTTACTTGGGGGACTCCATCTTGTTCACATGGTGAAGGACAAGGGAGAGCCGTTCCAACTCTGAGAACTAAGGCAATGATGGACTTTTAAATGCTGTAACTTCAAGTTGTACTAACCTATCCTAGTTAATCATCATTAGGATAGGTACTGACTGTAGGGGGAGAGGATTGCGTGTGTTATGGGAGAGCCTAGACTTAGCAGCCCTGCCCGCTTCTGGGAACATCTCAAGGGGACAGAAATTAACCCAAGGCTTTTGGCTAGATCAGCCTTATTAAGGATCAGCCTAGAGCATCCCTCACAAGCGTCATGGTCTAGAATTTCAATTCTGTTCCCAAGCATAATTCTCTCCCTAACCTCTGTGCAGAATACATTCTACATTCCAGAAAAACAAACAAACC